GGTCAAGGCCAAGATTAAGAGTTTCAAGGCAAAGACGTACGCAAAGATTTTTTAGACTTAAGACTTCAATTTTTGCAATTCTTCACAAAACTGTAAGTAGCAAGTGCTGTGAAAATGAAACCACATTTTTTAAAAATAAACCAAGGTTATGTTCAGAATTCAACAAAATCAATAAAAAATATGTATGTTCTCTCAAGGCCAAGGTCAAAACAATCAGGACCAAGGCCAAAATTTTCAAGATCAAGGCCAAGGCCAACAGCTTCAAAGCCAAGGCCGAGGCCTATATATTTGGCCTTAAGGCCAGGCCAAGGACTAACAACTTTTACTTTTGTTTCCTAAAACTGTTTTATTTGGTCCCTTAAAATTGATTGGTTAAATACTTTTACAATTTCTTCACTTAACTCAAATTTTTTTATTTAGGAAATTAAGAAATCTAAAATAACATTTTTTTTTTGTTTAGAATTTATTCTATATATAATGTAATGAAAAGTAGTCTAATATTTTCTATATTTTTTTGTTGTATTTACAACTGAATTGAATAGTAATTAGATCTGAATAGAATTTTATCATTATCAGACGTAAAATAGTGCTGTAATAAACCTGTTACAAAAAAGCATTTATTTTAAAGTCTTAATAAATTTCTCAATAATGATCGGTAGCTTTAAGACGCAATATTACTATCAAATAATAAGGAAGTCGTTATGCTGCTAGAATTTTTTCAACGTTATTTTTTAAGTCTACAGACAGAATGTAATGTTTCTTTTACTTAAACTTTTTAAACGTTTTTGTTAGTATAATGGCGTATATTTAATGTTTATACTTGAATTAAAAAAAAAGCGATTGAATAAAAAAATAAAGCGCCCTAAGTCTAACTAATAGCGTTAAGTTAAACCATTTTCCTTGTTCTTTTAGAGGTTCGAGTTAGCGAGAATTATCTGTATTTCAAACTTCGTGAATTAATGTTACTCAAGTAAAAGACACATACACGAATTTTAGACGACGCATAGCAATGTTAAGTTTTACTAAAGAAAATTTAAATAATAAAAACAGAATTTTATTCTATCAATCTAAGAATGATGTCATCTTGTGAAGTATCTAAGAATGTTGTCATCTTGCGGACTCCAGAATCGAGCCAAAAGTATAGAAAATTTTTCCAAAAAGCAGATTTCACGGTTAGTCTTTAATTGGCCAAAAAACTTCAAATATATATTTGAAGTTTTTTGGCCAATTAAAGATATATATATATATATATATATATATATATATATATATATATATATATATATATATATATATATATATATATATATATATATATATATATATATATATATATATATATATATATATATATATATATATATATATATATATATATATATTTTATATATATATATATATATATATATATATATATATATATATATATATATATATATATATACATAAAAAAAATCACAATCTAGTCACAAAAAAAAACCTTGTTTTACAACAAGGTTTTTTTTTGTGAACTACAACAGGTGTGTCTAAACTTTTTTATTCCTTCAAAAATAAACTTGAGTACTCCCGCAAAAATGTTATTTTTACAAAACAAAAACAAATATCTTTTCTTGAATTTGCTTACACCAGAGAGCTACATTTAAAGAAAAATGAGAAAGTTTAGCCGTAGCAAAACATTTTAAGGGCTATTATGGTTTTATTGCATGAAATGAAAATGTTCTCAGATTAGAAATTAATAATTGTAACAGAAAAATGAAAGAAGCATAAGAGATACAATGTAATTTCATAAAAAATTCAAGCATATTTGTCTTTAAATTCAATGGTTTGAGTTTTACTTCAAAAATAACAGTTGCACAAATTCACTGAAAAATTTTTTTACATATAATTTAAGGTTTCAGGTATTAATCCCTGAATAAGGTCCCCTAGAAAAAAAAGTCCTTAAGAATTAAACGCTCCGGAAAAAATCCCTCCGCAATAAATAATTTATTCTTTAATAATTGATTTTTAAAATAATTGTGTAAAGATCCAAATCCCGTCTAGATCTAAAAGCAAAATCCCTTCGTTGATATATACGCACTCCACTGCGCCTTGCTCTATTTGAGTCATTCAACGAATAGACACCACAATGTGCCGTAAAACGATTTTTGGAGGGCTTTTTTCCTGGGGAAATATTACACTAGGAGGTTTTTTCCAGGTTTTTTTTTTTTTGGTATGACCTTTTTTTTTATTTGATTACTTATTAACAAACTCTTTAAAGGGTAGCAGGAAAGAAAAAACCCAGCCGGCTCTGTTTCTTTCATTTCGGTTGTTAAGAGCTATAACAAAAGGTGATTCTTTGTCGGGTTTTAACTTTAATTTTATTATTTGTTTATTTTCAATCTTCGCATTAGTAGCGTTCATCGTGTTTGGAATAGATTTCTTAAGTTCTTCTTTGGAGCTTGATAAATCTGCTTCTTTAGAGGCTTCGATATGAAAAACTACAACGTTGCTGTACCTTTTTACTCTTTATTTTGCCTCGGCAACAACAGCATTCATTAAATAAAGCTGATCGATTCACTGTTTAGGTGCGGTACTTTCACTATTGACACTAGCCCATGATAAAGAGGTGGAAGCTACAACTTTAGCTTTCTTTAGAACATTTAGGCAGTAAAAGGCAATTTTTCAACTCATCGGTTGTTTTGATTAGTGACTTTTATTAACTTATTATTCTTGATCAGTTTTATATACATTAACTTCGGTTGATTGATTATTTACCATGTTTGTTATTATTATTTTAATTAAGTTTTTTTTTTATTTAAAGTTTAAACAAACTTTTTATTTTTAGTAAAACCCGTCCGTTCACCACGCGTTGAATATATCGTATTTCCTGGGGAATTTTTCCAGGGAATTTTTTTCCTAGAACCCTTCAAAGTATCATTTAAAATACCATTTGTGTTATTTATTTTAATTGATTCCGAGAATTAATTAATTCCAAAAATGATTTGCATCACGTTAAACTATCTTGCTTATACTGAAAAAGTAAGAAAAAGGAGGTCGAAGATATATATTTTTTAAATTTCTGTTTTTTTTAAATATATAAATGGGCAGACGGTAGACAAAACATCAAAAAATATGTACTTTTTATACGAATATAATATGTACACAATAATAATAAAGTATTCGTACTCTTCAGACTTACTATTAAAAAACTGCTTTGAAAATGAAAGTATTTTTTAAAACCACCGAAGCCAATTGCGGTTCAATTGCAAAAATCGGTGCTTCAAGGCTTCACTAGATACAAACAGCCTAATATATAGGATATTTTAAAAATAATATAGTTATATAAAGAGAGTTTACTATCAAAATACACATTATCAAAATGCACACACATAAGTAATTTTACTTATAAATATAATATATAACAACAGAATAATTATGTGCAGCTTTAAATATTTTTAATTTGAAATAATGTTTTTTTTGAAGTTACCAAATAGTTTTTAATCATATATATGTATATATATATATATATATATATATATATATATATATATATATATATATATATATATATATATATATATATATATATAGATATTTATATATATATATATATATATATATATATATATATATATATATATATATATATATATATATATATATATATATATACATATATATATATATATATGCAGTGCTTTTTTTATAGAAAAAAAAGTGTCGGAACTTACTTTTATTTTTTTAAGTCAAAAATAAAGCAAATGTTAGCTACTAAATTTGTAAATAAATTTTATATATAGATATAGCAGTGGCTAGGCTTCCCCAACAACAAGGGAATAAATTTAAAATTCGTTTCCTAATGTATAGAGTTTTTTTTTAATTTTAATAATGAGATTTTTATAATTAAATTGTTTTGTGTATAAATAAAACCACAAAAAACAAATGCGGTTCAATCGCGACAATTTATACTTCAATGCTTCACGCGATGCAAACAACTTAGTATATAGGAGTTTTAGAAAATAATATAATTAAATAATAACTTTTTAGCGAAATATGGTATAAGTAATTTTACTTATAGTATTTATATATCGTATTGTAATTATGATGTGGCGCTTTAAATTTATTTAACATTTAAACTTTTATATATATATATCTTATATATCTTATATATTTTATATATCTTATATATCTTATATATTTTATATATCGTATATATATTATATATCTTATATATATATATATATATATATATTTATATATATATTTATATATATATATATATATATATATATATATATATATATATATATATATATATATACTGGGCCGTAGAGAGCCAAACCGGGCCCCGGGGTAAATTTTTAGGCGGGCTTTATTTTACTTTATTTTACATTAATATTCGTATCCATATTGAAAACATCAAACTTAAAGTCTATGACGTGTCTTTACTTAAATCAAAACCAATCTTAAAGTCTAGGACTAGATATGTCTTTAATTGGTTGGTCAACGAATACTTTCATTTTTTTTAACAAGTTGCATTTGTTAGAATTTTTTTTTTTTTTACATTATTCACCTTCCAAGGCCGAGGGGTCACTATAGTCGAGGAGGCTACTCATTTTTTTGTGTTTTATTTTTTATTTTTTGTTGTTAATTGTGGTACAACCCTCTCTCAACTCTTTAACTCAGAAACACGAACTTTGGCAAGCAAGGCCGCTGCGATGAGTAACTAAGTTTGTTTAGCAAAAAATTTTGTTATAAAAAGCTTTTGAATTAAGTAGCCTTTTCTATAATATTTTTACTGTAAGTAATTAACTTGATATTATATAAAAAAGAAGAGAATGTAAATTAAAATAAAAAGTATTAAAGACTCTAATTTCTGTAAGAGAGTTTTACAGACAAACAAGTATATTCTTTGGTTTTCATTTTAAAAAAAGAATATTTTGAGTTCTAAGTGTTCAAAATAAATAGATGTATTTAATTGTACTGCAATTACCCAAAATAAGCTTTGCGAGATTTTTTACTTGCAAAAAGTTCGATAACTGCATCAAAGCCTAGTTTCCTTGCAAGTGGCGCCTCAATCGCTAGTCTTCTTAAATTAGAAAGTCGATCTTGAAACATCGTAGAACGTAAAACATTTTTAACTCTTGCAAGCGTGCTGAAAGAGCGTTCTGCTTGTGCAACGGTAACTGGAAGTGTACAAAAAATTCTAAGAACAACTAAAATGTTTGGGAAAAGAGAATCAAGCTTCAACTCATGGAGTGTGTTTAATAGTTGAAACGGCGATAATTGTATTATGCCAAGATTTGATGCGCGAATTGCCTTTAAATGTTCTAACTCGTCTATTAAATCGACAGAAACATCAATGCTGTATTAAACGCAAATAGATGAAGCTTTCTCATGCAGCAGATCTTTATCTAATGTCATGTATTTCCATACAAAACCAAGTGTTTCCTCAAGATCTTTGGCTACCTCAAAACGCTAATTCATATTACCAATGAGAGAATCTAAAAGAACATAAAAAACATCGCGCTTGAAACAAAATTCTGCACTGGTGTTGCCTAATTTATTATTCTGTTCCTCATCTGAAAATCTAACTTTTCGGGTGCGTTTTTTCTCCGGGAATATGTCATTGGAAATCATACCTAAATTTTCGGCAACAAGTTTACATTCATTTAAAATTGAATCCCAGTTGTTTCTCAATAATAAAAGGTCATCAATTAAGCTTTTTAAATTTAAAACCTCCACATCCAAAGTTGCATCTCTGGATTGCAAAACTGTGTTTTTGTAATTGATGCTTGTTAGAACTTTAAACCAAGTGCTTGCGAGTATAATGTACTCAAATGAACTCAAGTATTTCTCAATACGTTTGATATCTGATTGAGTCTCGACACTAAGATTTAGCTTCTTTAAGTCTTGCATAGCACTCTTTAAACCAGAAATATGTTTTGCAAAAGGTTTTAAACATTCAATCCTGGCTGACCAACGCGTATCTGATATGCTATGCAAAGAGCATCCAATGTATTCTTTTAAAATTTGCCATCTTTGCGGGCCAGAGCTGAACAAGTTATAAGTCTTTTGCACGACACCGAAGAAGTTTATAACCTCTGCACAGCACTCTGCGGCATGGACACCGCACAGATTTAAGCTATGACAAGCACATGGAGAATAAATTGCCAATTGGTTCTCTTTAATTATCTCTGCTTGTGTTCCTTTATATTGACCGCTCGTGTTGCTACCGTTGTCATAACCTTGACCACGACAGACTATCATTGGTATATTGTGTTTTTTAACAACACTGCAAATTAATTCAGCAATAGTTTTCCCCGTTTTCTAATTGCAGTCAACAAACTATAGAAATTGCTCTTTAACTTCGTAGAGACTATTTTCTTCATTTAAATAAACATAACGCAATATAAATAGTTCCATATGCGCTGAATCAGGGATTGCATCAACAAGCATTGAGTAAATTTTTGCTGCTTCTTGTTTACTTAGAATAACGTCAAATACTTTTTTGGCACAACATTCTATAAACTCATTTTGTATTTCCGGTGAAAGGTAATTTCTTGTTGTCTTCTCTTCAATTTCTGCAACTTCATCACTTTGTTCAGATAGTCTTTCAAGACAGAATCATAATGGCTCAAGAGGTCTAAAATGCCCAAAAAATTTCCATTTGCTGCAACTCCATCTAAATCACTTGTTCCTCTAAATCCCAAACCTCGTTCGGCAGAAACAATGTGACAGCTAAAATTCGGCGAAGAACCTGTTTCCACTGTGATGTCTGATTCTTAATGGTCTGCAGCAGCATAATATCGACAGTGGAATTAGAGTCAATACTTTTTTCCAATAGCCGCCATTTAATATAACAATATTTATGGTTGCTGCTGTTTTGATGCTCTGGAATTTTGTCATGTAATTTTTTCCATTTTCTTTGAAAACAATACCCAGATATAGTTGTTAAATGTGAGCGACTTGCTGTTGGTAGTTTGCTAAAAAGGCGACAAGGAAAACAAAATATCGATTGTTTAACTTTGCTCCAAACAACCCAATCACGGAGAACATATTCTCCATTTTTTATACTTGTATGTAATATACAAACAGAAAATGAATGACCGTTCACATCTTTCGGAAATTGAGATGGGATCTTTTCTGGACCCCTACGAACTGCTTCCTCAATTTCAGAAGCATTTGGTCTTTCATTTTTTAGACTACCTACATCAAGTCAAGCAGTTTTGCTTTAGTAATTTTATTATCAGTTATATTTGATTTATAATTCTCAGAGATATTGTTGATAGGAACTAAAAGATTGCCGGGCTCCAAGTCATCTTTATTTTCTATGTTATCAGGATCTAGAAAGTCGGCAGTCACATTAATTAAACCTGCAGCTTGTTCAACAACGTTGTTGTTATTGTAAAAATTAGCTTCTACATTATGATATTCATTTTCTAAATCTTTCTCTTTTGAAGACACTGAAAATCCATAACTTTGAAGTAGAGTTTGTTTTTCATTTACATTTTTCAATCTCGACAATTTTTTTTTCCTTTTTTGAAATCCAGATTTGTGATGGTAGGTCATTTTTTATTCGACTACTAAATAAGATTTTATATAAATTGGCATTAATTATCATTCCGGTAAATAAAACATTATGTATATGATATAATATACCATAATAAAGATATGTCATTGATATATCGATGGTATATATTAGAAAGCAATATGTGCAACAAACACTCCTAAACAATAGCGTAATGAGGGGAGACCAAAACGGAAATAGCCCAAGTCGCGAAGGCTTTAAGAGGCCCAAAAAGTTGAGGAGCAAAAATATATGAAACCAATTTTAACATAAAAAGTAATAATTTTTTAATTTTATTGAAAAAAGCGCATTTATTTCATTTTTGCCTCGGTCACAAAAATATTCGCTACGTCACTGATCTTAAGCGTCATATAATTTATTAAATAAAGCAATTTTTATAATTGAATGTTTTATATACAACTGATTAAACTTTAACATAAAAATAAACGAAACTGTAGAATCAAATAGACAATTTTTTGGCATTCTTTTTCTTTTATTTTAAAACACCTTGATTTAATGTTCTGCAAATGATCTAAAGTACTTAAATTATACAAACTATAAATGCTTGTTGGTTTAAAATTGGTTTAGATGGCATTTACGTCAATCTAAACGTTTAGGAATCTATTTTAAACGTGTTCTGAATATTTAATTTGCGTTGAAAACAATTTCCGTACGGAACTAACTTAAATTAGTTTCGCACAGAATGTGTCGGACATTTTGCATCTTTCATTATGATTAAAAATTAGAAAAAAGAAATTTTTTTTTTTTATTATATTGTGGCTAATGAAGCAGCAAAAAAGTCTTGTAAGTCCTTCGATAATATTATATAAGCGATTAAAAGTAATTTTAAGTACAGTAACAATGTATTTTGAAAATTCTTTTTTTTAGTTATTGCTACCAAAATAGCAGTTTCAAAAAAGTAGCAGTAGTCTCAAAAAAGTATGATTTTTAGCATTTTTTTAAACTGTTTCTTAAATTGTTTTTTTTGTTTGGTTTTTAACAACGTTATAAAACGTCTATAGTTAACTCTTAGCTTCCTAATTTTACTACTTTTACTAAAAGCAGAAAAATTATGAAAAATAGTTACCAGTTAAAATGCATAAATTTTCTCTAAAAGTTTTAGAGAAAAATTATGCCTTTTAAGTGGTAACTATTCTTGAAATAACTAATTAAAATTATTATTGTTTGTTTATATTAGGACCTAACATCTATTTGTTTATGATAGATGTTATATTGATTGAATAGCAATATTATAATATTTATACTTTTGGTGCAGTCAGTGCCAATCAAAAATTGTGAGGTTCAAATAATTATATAATTGATCTTCAGTTTTAGTGTAGTCTTCTAGTGTAAACATTCATTTATTTTCTCTTTAGTAGGAAAGTTAACATGGTTTGAACAATAATATATATAGCTATATTACATAATTTTCTAAAATCTGCGCAAATATATTTTTTATTGTTAATTAATTTTTGCGTGTTTAATTTCATTTTATATTTTATATACAGTCCAGTCAGTTCAACTGACTGGGCTGTATATAAAATATAAAATGACTCATGAAAAGCCTAACAAGCCTGAAATTTTACAGGTCGAAATAGTTTAGTATGTATATGTATATCATCCCTCGTAATTAGGAAAACCAAAGTCAGCGAAAAAAGCTAAAAAACTAGACGACTAAACTTATTTAAAACACTTTTAACAAGTTTAGTTACAATTTAATGTTATTTGTTGATGTACCTTCAACCAAATTAGTGTTTACATTTTAGCAAAATGTCATATCGCCAGGCTGTTTTGTTGGAAGAACCAAAAGCTTGATATTTTATTGAATTGTTATTTTAGTTTGTGATATTATAATTTTTATTCACAAAATGTTAAATAATTTACTTTTTAAATTTATTTGTCATTGCTTTGGATAAGATGTTTTGTTATTCCTTTTACAGATTGTTTTGAGGATTGCAAAAGTTTTAAAAATCAGAAACTGAAGAAGGCATTGATAATCAGCAAATATCAAAAAAGCACAAAAGTACTGATTAAACAACTCTTTTAAAGGTTTTATTTTAGTTTGTTAATGTTTATATAGAAACTAATAATATATAAACTGAAAATAATAACATATAATTAATCCATAATTGTGCATTATTCCAATCTAAATTAATTTTTTTTTTCAATTTCTTCGGAGTCAGTATTACTAGTTTAATGCAATTACAGTTGAAATAGTTAATTGTTGAAAAATTGCACTAAAAATTAAATAAATAGCTTGTTAAAGCAAATAATTATATATATATATATATATATATATATATATATATATATATATATATATATATATATATATATTTGTTATTCACCTCCCCAAAGCCGAGAAGACCACTACAGACGAGGAGGCTACTTAATTGTGGTTATAGCCCTCTCTCAACTCTATTACTCCGAAACACGAACCTTAACGAACAAGGCCGCTGCGCGGAGAAACAAGTTGAGCGCGGTGCTACCAGCGACATGGTGGGGATCGAACTCGGAACCTCTCGCTTATGAAGCGATTGTTTTACCACTACACCACTACCGCATGTATATATATATATATATATATATATATATATATATATATATATATATATATATATATATATATATATATATATATATATATATATATATATATATATATATATATATATATATATATATATATATATATATATATATATATATATATATATATATATATATATATATATATATATATATATATACATATACATATATATATATATATATATATATATATATATATATATATATATATATATATATATATATATATATATATATATATATATATATATATATATATATATATATATATATATATATATATATATATATATATATATATTATAAATTTAAAAATAATAGTTTTATTTAGTTTGTTCAAATTTTTATGTATAAAAAAAAGAAGCAAATTTTAATAAGTAAATGATAGACCATTTTTACGGTATAGTAAAATAGTTTTTATTTTTAAGTTGAGGAAGAATTTTTGTTAATTTTAATGCATAAGGTACGAATATTGACAGGTTAGCTAATTTGATGTTACAATAAACATGAAGTAATTTGATGTAACAATAAATTATGTGAAGTTTTTAATTTGATGTAACAATAAAGTATGTGAAGACCTTAGTGCTAGAAGTAGTTGCATGCATTATTCATGCATGCTATATTATAATATAGCATGCATACATGATGCATTCAAGTATAAAAAAAAAAGCTACAAATGTTTAATTATACAAAAAGATTATGGATGTGGTACCGCAAGTATATTCAATTGATTATGCAAGTAAGTTGTCCTACTTTACATCTTTGAAGGCTAATAATAATTGTAATGAACATATCTCAAACAATATAGACTCGGATTTACATTTTAGTTAAACCATCACCACTTCCACAGCCACCTTGTCTCAAGCATTCAATTGCATTCTAAGATATCTTTATTCAAATCAAGTGTGACTACTATACCAAAAGACTGTAGAATGGACCAATCAAGTAAGATGTCTAATTTTAAATTTTTTTTATGGAACTCCTTTTTATTTCAGATAAACCTGTTAGTTTTATGACTTATGAACATATTTAGCAATGTAGTCCTTTTAAGATAGACTTTTTAAAATCAAATTTACAATGCTTTAGTAAATTTTCATTTAAAATAACTTTGCATAAATAATATATCTATATAGTTATTTAAATTGTAGCTAACCCATCAGTATTTGCAAAGTCTCCTTTTCTGTTAGCCTGAAGACTGAGTTCTAAAATACAATTATTCACATAACTACTATATCAAAGCACAAACTAATGGATTGATCAAGTAATACTTAATTTTTAGCTTGAGTTGCATGTTAGTACATATATGATTTTGGTATATAAATTTTAATTATTATGTTTATTGATTAGTTTTTAACTTTAAGAATTTTAAGAATTACAATTTTATTTTTACATGTTTATTTCTATTGTAGTGAAACTGTCGGTATCTCCACAACTTTTCAATTCAAAAGAAAGTTTCAATCAAACAGGATACTGAGTGTGTCTACTGCTCCTCAAGAGAATGGATAATGGGAGTTATCAAATTTTATATATATATATATATATATATATATATATATATATATATATATATATATATATATATATATATATATATATATATATATATATATATATATATATATATATATGCTGTACAGATATTGTTATAAAGTAATAGAATACTGTATAATATTGTATTGCTATGTTTAGGAAGGACACTGCAGTTGTCCTGCAGTTATGCAACTTATTAACCCATAACTGCGATAACTGCAAGTTTTTTTAATAAGGTTTCTATTATATAAATGTTATATTTTACAGAGTTTTAAAGAAAAGTTCTCTATCAATTGCTACTACAGTTACTCAATGTACACTGTACTAATGTACAATCTTCTAAAATCTATAAAACTATGGATTTATAAAGTTGTTAGATGAATGATTTATATGAATAGAATGAAGATGTTTATTGAGTTATTTTTATTATTTTTAGAAAAGAGATTGTATGACTTCGGTATCCGCAATACGGTATCGTGCATTGGTTTCCATCTTAGAATGGCTCCCTTCCGTATAGGTGGAAATAGGAAAGGTTATGTCCTTTTTTCTACAAAGAAGCTTAATCGGTTCAAGCAAAGATGATGATGATTATTATGAAGCCGATCATGATAACTAATACGATAATGCATATAATAATAAATAAAATGATTTTACTTGTGTTTTAGACTTATTTAAATTAAAAATTATTTGTTTAACGTTTGATTTGTTTATGAGTATTTAAATAATGCGTTCAGCGTTTAACTTTTTTTGACGGTGCTTATTTAATTCAGTTTAAATAAAAGAAAAGTTTAATTCGTTTATAAGTATTTTTATTTATTTATGCTTCTTTAAATAAGCGCCGTAAAATAAAGTTAAACGTCGTGAACTTTAAATCGAAAGATTTAGATGGAGTTTAAATAGCGTTTAAAACGAACCATTTAGATATGGTTTAAAAGGAACATTCGATTGACCTACGTTCTAAGTCGAAACTAAATTAAATTTAAACATTTAGAACGAACATTAACTAAACGTTGATTAAATGTTCGAACGTCCGCTGGGTATTTACATGTCGTGATTTAAGGTGAGTTTCCACTCATCCGTTTTTTCGCGGGAATAGGAAAAACAATCACGTGGGCATGCGTATTATAAGTTTTAAATTGTCCGGAGTAAAACTTCGCATGCTCACGTGATTATTTTTTCCTTTCCTATCCCGTTCCTGTAAAAAAACGGATGAGTGGAAACTCACCTTTATATTTAATATAAACATACAAACTTGGAATCTGGAAGAAGATCATATCGATCTTGTCGCCAGAACCATATAAACTTACAATATAGATATAATATAATACAAGTAGTTTATAACAAAATAAGAATCCAAAACATTTAAAATAAGAAATGTTTAAAATAATATCTCAAAAATACTTCAATATATTTTCCGTAGAAAAAATAATATTATAATATATATAAGGTGCTCGATAATCTATACAAAATTGATTAAACTTTGTTTGACAAAAAGGTTCTTTTAAATAGTTATTATTTCGCAAACTATATTTATTCTTTACTTTAAAGGTAAATAGATCATTAAAAACATGAAATAAAGGGTTATTCATACAACAAAACGTAAAACATAAAATATTGTTACAATTTAAGTTCATAAACGTTTAATACATTCATATCTTTAAATAGAGGTTTTTTATTTGAAAAACGACTTAAAAAATATATTATTCGCATTGCATGTTTCTGATGGCGGTAAAGACGTTGCAACTTACTTTTACCTGTACTTCCCCAGGCAATACTTGCATAGTTTATATAGCTATGAATAAATGAGTAGTATAGTTGTTTTAAATTATTTTTATTTGGATAATTTCTGGCCTTATAGAGGATACTAATACTTTTCGCAACTTTTGTTGATATATAATCAATATGAGCTTTCCATGTCATATTTTCGTGAAGATAAATACTTAGGAATTTTGAAACAGAATCTTTTTTTAGTTCTACTTCATCAATATAAAGTTTAGGTAAATCATAAGGCAAAGAACGTTTTTTTGTTGAGGAGTGGAAACGGGTCCACTTTGTTTTGTCAATATTTCAGGTTAATTTATTGCATTTAAACCAATTAGAAACTTGATTAAGTTCTTTATTCATATTTTAAAAAAGTTTCTTAATGTCTTTGTTTGATAAAAATAAATTAGTATCGTCGGCAAACATGATGCTCATAAGATTCGAGGCCTAATTTAGATCTTTGATGTATACTAAAAAGAGAAATGGGCCAAGAATAGAACCCTGTGAAACACCACATTTTATTTCAATTAATGTTTTATTTTGAAGATTAATAGGAAGCAATTCTTCTCCGTGGTAGACGAATTGCTTTCTATTTGACAAGTAGCTTTTATGACATTTGATCATTTTACTAGTTATTTTGTAGAACTCAAGTTTTTTAAGTATGATATCATGATTGACTGTATCCAAAAGCCTTTGATAAATCGACAAAAACACCATGTGTATATTGTGATTTAGCAAAAGAATTAGAGACTTCACGTGTAAACTGAATAATGGTTTATTCAGTTGAACATTTTTTTTAAAGCCGAATTGATTTTTATATAGTAAATTATTTGAAACCAGGTAGTTGTATGTTTTTTCGAAGATGATTTTTTCTAATATTTTTGAAAACGTAGGAAGGATAGAAATAGGGCGATAATTATATAGGGCGATAATTATTTACGCTTAATTTTTCTCCTTCTTTATAAATCGGCAATTTTTAATAGATCAGGGAAAACCCCTTGTTGTATAAATGTTTGGAAAACTTTAAATATATTTTCCAAAATTTCATAAATTGATCACTTCGCCGTATCAAAATATACAAGTTTTATAAATCTTAAATGCATTGTTCATCCTGAATGCTCAAATAATTTGAGCGACCACCTACCACTATCAATATCAGTTGAAGTTAAGTACACCGAATGCAATACCATTGAACTAGCAGAAGATACTAATATTACTAGCTACGCTTGGAACGATTCTAACTTTATAAACTCTTACAATGTTCATTTAACCAATCGCTTTAACAATCTTAATTTTACTAACGATTATGAATACGACCTTCTCCAAATCTATAAAAAAAATTACTGACAGCGCTCAAATAGCTTTTAAGGAGACTTTAAAAAATAAAAAGCAATGTTTGTATTCAAAATCTTGGTGGACACCTGAATTAAGTCGGTATAAAACTATTCTTTCAATTCATTTTAAAAAATGGAGAGATTCTGGTTTTTCTAAAGAGTTAAACTCGGTATCATTTAACCGTTACCAAATGGCTCGTAAAAACTTTCGTAAAGCCGTCAAGTCGGCTCAAAATAATAAAATTTGCGCACAATATATTAAAATTGAAAAGTTAAAAAATACTAAACCAAAAAACTTTTGGAATGCTTTTAGATGTTTAAACAAAGACATAAATTCTAGATTATTTACCATAAATAATAAAAAAGACAAAGAATCTATTACTTCAGAATTCGCAAACCACTTCGAAAGAGTACTGAATACTCCAAAAATAACACATCGTAAAGAAAATCAGAGAATTCCCCCGTGTACAAAACATGATGATGTAACAATAACTGAAGAAAATATAATTGGGGCTATTTCAAATTTAAAATTAAAAAAATCTCCTGACTCTTTCGGTATCTCAGCAGAACATTTGAAATACGCAAAGTGCGATACTTTAACGAAATGGCTCATCAAATTTTTTAATTACTCCATTAATTATGGATCGACTCCAATATCAATGTCGACGTCAACTATTGCACCCCTCGTTAAATCGTACAAAAAGTCTTTAGATAGCCCGAGCAACTATCGTGGTATTAGTATTATACCAATTTTTACAAAGGTTCTAGAATACCTGATCTTAATTATATGTCCGGATATTAGAGATACTCACTCCCTACAATTTGGATTCAATGCTAACTCTTCAACGCTACATGCTGAATTTCTAATAAGCGAAACAATTAAACATTACAACAGCAACCATTCCCCTGTGTATCTATGTTCTTTAGATGCAGAAAAAGCTTTTGATAGCTGTAACTGGGATATCCTATTTGAAAAATTATATTTCGATAAAAAATTACCACTATGTATAGTTAACACTATCTCCTCGTTGTATAACAATAGTAGCGCAACAGTCTCATATCAAGGTTGTAAATCAAACTCTTTTCCTCTAAACCAAGGAGTAAGACAAGGATCAATTCTTTCGTCTCACCTCTATAATATTTACACTGAAAGTCTTCTCGAAACTATTAAAAATCAGGGTATTGTTGGCACATCTATAAACGGTAACTTTACTGGTGTGGTAGCCTATGCGGGTGATATAATACTTTTAAGCTCTACCTTATCTGGTCTCAAAAAGCTTATAAAAACATGCAATATTTACAGTAATCTAAATTGTATTAAACTGAATGCCGAAAAGACTGAGTTCTTGATCTCAGGTAAAGCCCAAATACAAACTAATACTATGCGGTAGTGGTGTAGTGGTAGAGCGCTCGCTTCATAAACGAGTGGTTCCGAGTTCGATCCCCACCACGTCCCTGGTAGTACCGCGCTCAACTCGTTTCTCCGCGCAGCGGCCTTGCTCGTCAAGGTTCGTGTTTCGGAGTTATAGAGTTGTGAGAGGGTTATAACCACAAATAAGTAGCCTCCTCGTCTGTAGTGGCCTTCTCGGCCTTGAGGAGGTGAATCAAAATAAAAAAAAAAAATACAATAACAATTTCTGGTAATAAAAAAAATCTTCAGAATAAACTTAGACATTTGGGATTCACATGGGATACTAAACATTCAGTTTTTGCTTCACTCGGTTATTCAAATGTTGATGAAAAAATATCAAACTTTAGAGCTGTTGTTCAAACTCTTATTCAATCTGGAATCCGGTTTGCCCACCCCAGTTCTATTTCCTATATATATAAATCATTGGCAGTCCCCACCTTAACTTATGGTATGGAGCTATGTGATAATAATCCTGGTCTGATGAAAAAGCTAGATATAATTGGAAGGAGAGCGCTAAAATCGTTTTTAAATGTTTCAAAACATAGTAAAAACTTTATGAATTCGTTATTTAAAATCCAGGAAATTTCAAAAAGTGTTCAACAAAATAGTTAAACTTGTTCCTTCGACTTCTTAATAACAAAACAACTGCAGACATTATCTTTTCACAACTGCAACACCCGTTATTTCAACATTCGTTTGTTAGTGATATTCAGGAACTATGCCATCTTCAGATATTAAATTTTCAAAACCTAATTCAAAATAAAAAGAAGGTAAAAATACCACTTTCTAAAAGTAAAATTCCTTCCGAAGTTGAACGAAACTTGAAGTATGCAATAGAGTGCTGGAATGCAAAAGAACAAAGAGGAGTTTTCAAGCAAATTCTGGAAGAAAACGTTTTTAAGCAAAGTCATCCGAAATAACTTTCTTATTTTTTTCTTTTTACCTTGTAAATTGGGTGTTAAATAAATAAAATAATAATAGCAATCTATAATAATGTTCCCGTTTATTCCATCCGAACCAATTGCTTTGTTTGTTTGTTTTTAGATTTGAAGGCTCTTTTAAACTTTTCAATCGATAAGTCTAGGAATAAGTCATGG